TTGCACCTTGTACCTTCCCTAGCTACTGAGTCCGGGTTGGACCTGTGACTGAGCCTACCGCCTCTTGCTGCATCGACATCTGTCCACGGACTTCGACTAACGGTTCCACCCACACAGTGTTAACCCCGACGTTATATTCCTGAAAACGTTTTAGTGACTGGGAGGAACGCGCTGGTCAGAACACGCCACTCTTCATCATTGGCCTGCTGCTTGGACAGGCTGAACCATTGAGGGTGCTATGTATCCACTAGGTGTCACCACTGCTTCAACATTGACCTCGCCTTTCATTCTGCAGGCAATGAGCTTGTACCAGCTCTATAAATAAGCAAGGGCTCAAGCTTCTTAATTCAGACTCGTCGACGATGCCTCAACTCTCACGAATGGAGCATGCTGACAGTACTTGCTACAGCAACAGGGTACCCGCAGTGACCTATGACCGATAGTTTTGGTGTTGTGTGTAGAGCCGATGGTCGAAGTTTCGGGACCACACACTACACTGGCCCTCACTCGGTCTGTAAACTGGTGACCACAATTTGATTAGAAAACGGACCAAACTTTTGTTTCTCTGAAATCGATTGTGTTAGGATATTGTACCCAGCGTTGCTTTTTCATATTAAATGGGTCATAGTAGTCCTTTTCATTTATATAGAACTAAAATTAGACACGGCCGGTGCAGAAAAAGAAGAGGGCTTTTCAATTATGGACGGTAATTACTTATTGATCTGTTTCCTGGACGAGGCATTAATATGGATTTGAGGACCACAGTCCAGACATTGTGTCCAACATGAGGCAGTATTTCCTTCAAATTGAGCGGTAGTAAACAATAACATTTTTCCCCCTATCCCGGCGTGAAAAATGCAAGAACATAAAATTCAACTGTGCCTTAACCACTTATTTCCAGAGTTTCAAACTCAGAACTCGTAGAAAGTTTTATTTCAAAAGAAAAAAGGTTAAGATTTATGTCTTTGTACTTTTTTTTGTCTTTATCGAGTCAAAGTTAATACAATACCTGACTTCAAAACCAAACAAAAAAACAATTAAAAAGTAAATGAAGCATTACCAAAATTAATCGTTTTTGCATTGATGTGGATTTGAAGACCACAATTCAGACGTGTGTCTAAAACAAGGTATTTCCTTCAAATTTTGAACTTTGCAGAAAGGGAAAATTTGAATTAAAAAGAAGAGAGGATAGGATTATTATTATTACTACTACTTCTATGTACTAATCTACTACTACTACACTACTACTATTTGCTAATCTGCTACTACTTCTACTACTTACTAATCTATTACTACTAATACTTACTAATCTACTACTACTAGTACTTCTTACTAATCAACTACTACTACAACTACTTACTAATCTACTACTACAACTACTTACTAATCTACTACTACTACTACTTACTAATCTACTACTACCACTAATCCTTACTAATCTACTACTACCAGTACTTCTTACTAATCTATTACTACTATATACTAATCTACTACTACTTACTAATCTATCACTAGTACTTACTAATCTACTACTACTACTACTACTACTAGTACTACTTACTAATCTACTACTACTACTACTTACTAATCTACTACTGGCTATGGCCTATGAGCTGTTGCAAAAAAATCTACTACTACTACTAATAATAATACTACTTACTTATTTACTACTACTACTTCAACTACTACTACTACTTACTAATCTACTACTTTACTTACTACTAGGTACTCATCTTTTTTTTAAGCCTCAGCTAATGCAATTCCTAACTTTAAGACCAAATTTAAAAAAAAAAATTATGGACACTAAATAAAAATCATTGGTCATTAGAAGTCATTGCAAACGTTAGAAAATTTAATGATTTCTTAGCGTATTTTCTTGACTGTTAATGTTTTTTATTTATGGACAAGGTGTTTTATTGAAGAGTTCCTGTGCTTTAATTTTTTATTTTAATGTGACGAATGCATTTGGAACGATTCCAGAACCCCTTGCCTGTTATTGATATCGTTATATCTAATTTACATGTTATATTACAATTAAAATTATTTATTTTACACTAATATATAATTAAGTTGACAGTTGAGAAGAGAATGGAATAGGCCAAAATATGCTTGTCATATAAAAAAAGTTTAAGTATTGGATTAGAAAATGTTATCTTTTTTGTATTAACACAGATTTGTGGATCCCAATTCAGATGTGTTCAATGGGAAACAGTATTTCCTTCGAATTGTTCAATAATAAACAAGAAATAATCTTTTGTTTTCAATTCTGGCTTTCAAGGCATTCAAACTCAAAACAAGTATAAAATTGTTATGTGATAGTGTATTTATGAAACATCACAACCTCTTTCTTCATTTTACTTTCTATTCCCTTTTAAAATGTAAAATGAAGAAAGTAGTTGTGAAGTTCAATAAATACCTTCATTACATGATGAATTCAACAACAACCAAAATAAAGAAGAAGGAGTTTCATCAAGTAGGAAATTGATTTAAAAAGAAGAAATAAAAAATATAGATTGAGGTAGATTTGACGACATCAATCCACCAATGTCCAATAGGACTGACAAGGCAGTATTTTATTCAAATTGTTAGAAAGAAAACAGCAATCCAATTCCTGCATACAAAATAGAAGAAAAAAAATTCTACATGTTTTAACCACTTATTTTCAGGCTTTTAAACTTGGAAGAAGGGAGAAAACTTTATTTAGAAGAAGAATCTTGAACTTTTTTCTCAACTTTAATAGCAAATTAATCAAAATAAAAAGTCAGTAACACATTGATTTTTAATTTAATTTATTTAAAAATACAAAATATAAATTATGGATTTCTTGTGTAATTAGCAAATTTAACTGTATTAATATGGATTTGAGAAAAACAATCCAGACGTACGTCCAAAAGGAGTCGAGAACATGAAATACTACAGTGTCTAAACCACTTATTTTCAGGTTTGGAAACTCAGAAAGAAAATTTTATTTAAAAAGCAAAAGGATTAAGTTTGAAGACTTGATCTTTCATTTTGAAGCCTGAACTGACCATACCTAACATATATTTATAAATATATATCATCCATTTATTGGATCATTACCAATATTAATCATTGTTCTTCTAATAATATTGCAATATTGCTTTCACAAAGCCTCTTGTTTACTTTGAACTTTCTGCCATCAATTTTTGGCCTCATGAGTGCCCAGTTAAGTTGAAATAAAACAAAATTGTGAGATTTCTCTGTTAAAACCAATATGCAGTACAGGATGAGGCACATCATATAAAATCTCCGACGAAAGAATCAACTTCAACTAATCATGAACCTGATGCTGATGGTTCATTCTTATAAAAATTATTATTTAAAGGGTAATATTTTGTAACAAAGCTCTTCAACTAGTTTGGTCATTTCCAATCATTATGGTCTGCCTATCCTCAGTTATTTGCCTTCAATATTACAATTTTTTTTTGTGTGGTGGTTAGTGACCGTTAATCGATAATTATTATCAAAAATATCAGGGACAAGGCAGATTGGAAATAAATCACTTACTTCCTTGATTACCTTTTGGGCAGTCTTTATCAGGATTTTGAATCTTTAATTAATAATTAAATGTTGACAAATAGGAATTGTTTACAAATATGAATCTTGCGGATTCAACTAAAATGAAATTAAGAGTACATTTTACAACAAAAAACCTCTAAGCTTGATGAAGTTGTTTTATTTCTGATTCACCTTACCCCTGATCTTTCTTAATATAAATTATCTTTACTAGTTTGGACTACAATTAACATTAGCCAGGATTAACACCCAAATTTCAACAAGAAGAAACCATCCAAAAAGTGACATCCTGAGTAAAAATTCCAGTCTTAACATCTTAATTAAAATTAGATTGGAGTTAAATTAACAAATATAACAATTTTATCATGAGGAAAAGGGTTGTTTTGTTTGAAATTTCACATATCACTCTTGCTTAAGTATCGATGGGTATGAGAAATCTTAACACTCAACCAAAATGTTTATCCAAAAATCAACATTAACAAATGTTCTTTCTAAATACATAAAAATCAACTCCAAAAATGGACGAAATACAAAACAAACTTGTATAAAATCTAAGAAAATTTAAAACTATTGAGATTTTCTCCTGTGGTCTTAGGGTTGATGAACTTGTAATTTGGTCGGTACTGATAATTTTGGTCTGGCTATACTTACTGTCCTTCAGATCACAGGAGGAAATCTCAATAGTTTTATATTTTCTTAGATTTTATCCAAGTTTGTTTTGTGTTTGATCAATTGTTGGAGTTGATTTGTATTTTTACATTTAGAAGGAATATTAGTTAATTGTGGATTTTTGAATAAATCCTTTGGTTAAGTGTTAAAAATTCTGGATAAAATAAAACTAGATACTAAATTAAAGTTAGGAATAGAATAAACAAAAAATATATATTGCCAAGATAGTTTTCTCAAATATTGTTTTCTAGCCAATGAAACTATTTTTTCTGATTCACTATTATTTTTTTTGCAGTTTGGATAGCCATTTCTGATCTCTTTTGGTCTCCCTAAGACCAAAATAGTGAGGATAGGCACTAACATAATTGTTAACAACCAAACTACAAGTTCATCCCTACACAGACTTTATTAGGAATTTATATTCTATCTCATTCTATATTATATGTTCTCATTCAACAGGAATTCTAATAGTTTTTCTGCTTAAATACATCATCACTGATGTATTTGTCAGGAAAGAGAGATAAAATAACTGATGAATTTCTGAGACTAGAGAGCGCTCCACTCTTCTTTACTCCTATTAATTAAATATGTTTTTAGCCAGCCAAAGTAGAATGTTGAGAAAATGAAAATACTGGAAAAAAGCTTGTAATGAAGGCAGTTTATTAATATTTATAAAGATAAACTATTTTTTATAAATTATTCCTTTCTACTATCTCGTCAAACTTGTACAAACTTTCTAGATAGGTTAATATTCATACAACAAATATAATTTTGCATTATTGATTAAATTCTAGGTAGTTTTAATGCGAGATGCAACACGTAAAACCAACCTCAAAAGGTGACCCTCTGTGCCCTTTGGGGTTTCACCCTCAAGTCAGATGGCCCACTAGGTGTAAAAGATGCTTTAGGTACAGGTATTCATCACGTTCATTTTGAAAAAATTTTAATTGAAACAACTTGCAGGGATTACAAGGAGCATGGTAACAGAAACAAAGAACAAGATTCACAGCTTAGAAAAGATGAGCTTACTGTGTCTACACCTGTTTTATCATCCCTCTCATCCTCGAGGTAAATGTATTATTTTATTAATTTTTGAACAGTATTCCTTTTAAACAAAAATATTATAGGAATAGGAACTTGGTTTCAACTGAAAGCAATATTGGCACCCGCAACTGGACAAGTAGTTCCAATCTTAGTACATTAAGTAGTAGTAGCAAACCAAATGAAGATTCCAATAGTATCAGTGCGAGCTCTTCCTGGACATCAAGTCCAAATTTGGCTGATCAGAAGGAGGTTTACAAGGAGAAAGAATTGGTCACGGTCAGTTTTACACTGCCAAGAAGAAAACGTGAAACTAAAGAAGACAAAGACGAAGAAGGTATGATCATACTTACTTTTTGATTTCTTTATTTTAATAATTTACCTTTCTTAGATGATGCAAGACGAACACAATTCACTATACGAAGACGGACCACGCCTTCTACTGCAAATACGAATAATTTTGAATCAGTCACAATTCCATCAAGAAATTTGTCAACTGGCACTTCCAGGTCTAGGACCCAGACTAAAGATGAACCCAAACCTAAGCCAGAAATTGACTTCATGATGCAGGTAATACATATTCTGACCTGTTTTTAAAATGGATTAAATTTAAAAAATAAAGACTGTGTAGACTTCAATATCTCAAAAGTTAAAGGTATTTGACATTTTTAGGTTAAGGAAAGTGCACGAGCATCATCTAATAAAGATACAAAAGATGTCAGTAAACATGGCTCAAGCAAGTCCAACAGACACTCATTCCATAAAGATGACAGTGATAATGAAAGTATTGCTTGCACTGAATCTACCGAAACTACTATAGTGAATGAACATGAACTTCAGGTAAATATTTTCTGCTTATTGTTAAAACTGTATGAATTTATTACAATTGTATTTTTTTAAAGGATGAGATTGAAAGTTTGAAAAAAGAGCTTGAAGCCATGAAGATTCGATGTGAAAGATCGGAACGTGAGAAAAGTGACTTTATGCTTAGAAGACTGGCTTCTTCTGACACCGTAACATCAAGAACTTCAGCATCAGAAGTGTGTTTCCCCATTTTTTTTAAACTTAATACAAAACAATTATAACATTACCCTAAAAAGTGTGAAGAATGCTTATTATTTTAAAGGTTCTCAAGCTACAACAAAAAGTTAACGAGCTTAAAAATAATAATGAAGACTTAAGGGATGAGAAGAAAAGCCTGAGCCAAAGAGTTAGAGAGTTAGAAAATGACCTCGAAGCTATACGAGCCTCAGGGGTACAAAAGGAAGTACAGATACTCAGGGAAAAGCTACATGCCTCTGAGAAACTCTGTGACGAGCTTACCGAGATGAATGAAGAGATGAAAAATGAAATAAGAGATATGGAAGAAGAAATGGATGAAATGCATGACAAATTTAGGTAGTGTTTTGATATAATTTGAAAATTAAAAATATAAATGATACATTTTAAATTATAGAGAAGATCGAGCTGATGAATACACGTCTCTGAAAAAAGAGCTTGAGCAGCAAACAAAGAATTGCCGAATCCTTTCTTTTAAACTAAGGAAAGCGGAGAGGAAAACTGAGCAGTTAGAAGCAGAAAAGCTTGAGGCAGAAAGAAAGTGTAGAGAGGTAAATTTACAATGAAAATGATTTATTATATAAAATTTATTAACTAAATTTTATTACACTATTTAGGTGGCAGGTGGTCAATCAGGGCTTGACAAAGTTGAAAGAATAAAACAACTAGAACATGATCTCAGTGTAGCAAATGAGGTAAATCACTGCCATCATAGACTTAGTTAAGTATTGCTAATACAATAATTATGTTTAGGCTGCAGCTCGGTTGCAAAAGGAGCTGGATGATGTCCACTCTAAGCCCAAGCTGGTAGATAAAGAAAAAAGTACCACTGTCAAAAAGAAAGCACCTAAACTTGCTAGTCTCCCTAAAACCCCTTCTGGAGAGGTATTTAGTTCATTTTTGCTCGTCAAAATTATAATGCATTTAATTACTTTGCCATTCAGAAAGTTTCAAGGGAGTCTTTGACAAGAGGGGACTCTCAGGAAGACCCGATCCAACTTTTGAGGGATTTACAGGATTCGCTGGAGAGAGAGGCCGACCTAAGAGAACAGCTCAGATTTGCTGAAGAAGAGGTCTGTATCGAGATGTAATTAATTTTTAAAACCTTTACCAGTTATAGTTGTAGTGATGTTTTGTGGCATCTATGATATGCACAGAGAGTGCCTCGTTTGTGTTATTTTAGATTGTCCGACTGCAGGTGAAAAAAAAGCTTGCAATATTAATACCTGATAATATCCCTGAGAAAAGCCTTGGATCAAAGACATACCTAAAAATTGAGCGAGAAGTTCAGATTTGCCCAGAATGTAAGGACGCTTCTGTGATGGTGATTGAGTCAGGAAAAATGACTGAAACTAGAGAGACTCAAACAGATACTAAAGAATCGGATAAAGTAGATCCGTGTACAGAAGAAAATGAACTCCTATTAAAAAGAGAAGAAATGTTGCCTTTTATAAGAAAAAATTGCCTTGTGAAAAATAAGTGCAATTTTCAAAGGAGCAACTCACTGCCAGACTTTTGTAAGATTTTTCTTACAAATAATTCGACACAAACAGAACACAAAGAATTTCCTTTTGGTCTGATTCCCTGTCTATTGCGTTTTGGAGTCTTTCTCCCCTACAGCCTTGCGTTTTCTCCATTAGCAGCCTTGTTATTGCCCTTAGGTAAAATGTTCGTGTAAACCAGTGTCCTTTGTACTAACCACTGTAGAAATCGTACTTCTGAAGCCTCAGTTGAATTTTATCTTGGCCTTATAAAATTGAAAAACTAACAACAGAAGACTAGAATAATTGGGGTGATTCTTACATTTTTGTTCCCAGGCTGAAAACCTTCGTAAGAAATCATCGCGAGTTGAAGACGATAACGAATCATTGGTTTTGCAGCTTAAGAAAATGGCTACCAAAGCCAGAAGTATGTCCTGTTAATTACTCAAATATGAAAATTTTAAATTAAAATTTTTTAACACTAACAATAATATTGAAATTTTTTGCTCGTTGAAAATTATTACGGTTCATCTATAATTTTAGCATTCATTATCATTTCATTTTTTTTCTTTAGTTATAAAATTCTCAGTGGACATTTCTCATATGACACTAAAATGTCTCTGTGAATTCAGTTTTTCGTTTGCTGTTCATATTTGATTGATATTATTTTTATCTACTAACACACTCTAACCTAGTAGAATTTTTTAAAAAATTTCAGATTTAAACAAAAATTATAAAAAGTTGTTATTGCTGTTTTTCCAACTGGAACGAGATTGATAATTATCAGAAATATTCAAAATATCATTTAAGTATCATCTGTATGTTTTTTAATATTTTGTGTGTGAGAACATCACCCTCTTTATTTTTAATTAAAATGCATAAAAAATCAACTAACATTAAAAAAGTGTATATTTTAATAATAAACATTCAATCATTATAAAATGTAGGCAGAACAGGCTTGAGTGTGGCTCCTTCAATAAAGAAACCAAAATTTTTTGACAAGTTTGAATTTATATAGCAAGTTTCAGAAATACGACTTCCCTAATTAAATGCTTTCACTCTTAGTGTAGATAATTAAATAATAAAAAAATTTTTTTTTTGCTTATCTGATATTTTTATTTTAGCGAGAAGACTCAGCCCTTCACAACAACATCTCAACCCAGAGCCAGTTGAGAAAGACGAAGGAATTTCAGATGAGGATGATCCATCGGAACTCAGGATTCTCTTAGAATTGAATGAGCAAGTAAGCCTTAGGAAAACATTCTCCGACACAGAAATACATTATTTATATTATTTCTTTTTTCAGGAAGCTGCAGTGCTCAGAAGAAAAGTGGAAGAACTTGAAGTAGAAAGTGACCACTTGAAAAAGAAGGTCAAAGACCTTCAAGAAAAGCTTAATACTAAATTGCCAACATCTAAAAGAGATACATTAAAATCTACAGAACCTGAAAAACGCAATGGTGTTAGTGAACAAAAGATAAAAGTCTGTATTTATGCTAACTGTATTTTTCTACGCCTGGCAATAATGTTTAATTTAAATCATAGGTGTTAGAAGAAGAAATGAATGAATTGAGGAAGAAACTTATAGAAAAAGAAAGAGAATGTGAAAGGTTGCATGCAGAAATATCGTTGGGCGTCAAAAAGCCTAAAACAATTCAAAAGAGCAAGTAAGATCTTATTTAAGGTAGTTTGCATTTCACACTATCTTCATTTTTGACCAGGTCATTAGATGGAGACCAGCAAACAGTAGATTTAAAGAGACAATTGCAAGTTATTGAAGCCGAAGCAAATATTCTAAGGACAAAGACACAAAATCTTGAAAGTGAAAATGAAAAGCTTGTCTCAGAAAATAAGAAACTGTCACTAATGTCGTCCAGAAGATCGAGTTCTGTTGAGAGGCTAGATTCTAAGAGTACTTTGGGCTCTTTGGAAAAACAACTTGAAGAGAGCAATAAAAAAGTAATTCTGCATTAGTTTAAATTTAATATGTTGTATTAAATTTCAACATTTTAGATTAAAGAGCTTGAAGCTGCAGCAAACAAAGGAGGTAGTTCAACAATTCCAATCGGCGAAATTGAAAAACTAAAGAATCACCTCAAAAAGGTAATTTAGTGTTTAATTTAACATTTTCAAATTGTAACATTTGGTATTGTAGGCTGAGGCGGAGAAGAAAAAAACCGAGGAAGTGCTCAAGAGGCTTAAAGATGAAGCTTTAGAGGACGTTTTGAATTACTACCAAAAGCGAGTACCTAAAAAGCCGACTGACTTGTCGACTAAACTCCAACTCAAGAAGATGGTAGAAGAGAACGAAAATGAAATTAGCGAAATGTTGGTCGTCCTCAAAAAAACTGGAGGGCTGAAAAAAGAAAAAGAGGCTGAGCAATTGAAAGATGAGCTGGACAAGACAAAGGCTAAATTGGATAAGATGATCAAAGAAGCCAAAGAAGAAAGCAGCAAAAAAGACATAGAAATTTCTCAGCTCAATAAAATGATAAAAGATCTAGAGAGTGGTAAGTATTGTTAAATAATATTTATTAATAGTTATTTTAATTGAAACAATAATTCTGAACAGATAAATTAAAAGTCAAAAGAGATTCTGATAAAGGAAAAACCAGTTGGGAAAAAGAGAAGGAAACCTTAATGGAATCAAAAACCCAATTAGAAAAAAGTAAAAAAGAATTAACAGAAGAAGTAGACAAATTAAAATCAGAAATGAGTAAATATAATATAAATATTACCTCAAGATTTCATACTCTCTATATCATTTTACTAATCATTGTACACACTTTCAGAAAGAGCGAAGGCTGCCAAAGATGAAGTGAGTACGTTGAAAAAGAAAATTGATGCTCTGACCAAAGAGTTAGAAGATGAGAAAAAACAGAGTGCAGACTTGAAAAAACAACTTGAAGGTGCCCTTAAAAATACTAATGAATCAAGCAAGCTGGCAGGAGAGGTGAGTCATAAAAAAACTAAATATATCCAGATATAAGACAACATATTGTCTTAGATGAGTGACAAATCAAAGAAAATCGAGGAACTGGAGAAAAAGTTAAAGGAAGTTGAGGATAAACAGAAGAAGTCTGAAAAACTCGTTGCATCCAAAAAAGAAAAAATTACTAAACTGGATAAGGAGGTAAAGCAGTAAATTTATTTTATTTTATGTACAGTATTTCTGATAGAAGATATACTGTGTAGAATGAAGAACTTGGAATTAGAATAATTGACCTTGAAAAAGCAATGAATAATTTGGCAAGTGAGAAAAAGTCCTTACAGACCAAATACGATGAATTGGACGCCAAATTAAACGTGCTCACAGGAGAATTAGAAACGAAAAAGGCTGAAGTTTTGCAATTGGTAAATTTGTCATCTTGTAATTATAAAAATATTGTAAATCTAAGCATTCAATTTTAGGAAAAAGGCTTACAAAATAAAGAGGATTCAAAAATGTCAAAAACTGCTTCTTCAAAGGCCAGTCAAGAAGTTGCTAGTTTGAAAGACGAGCTTGCAACATCAAAGAATAAAATCAAGGATCTTACTGAAAAAATAAACAAGGTAATTTACACATTCAAATTATAATTATTGAAAATAAACTCATATGTTTTAAAGGGGGAGAATGAATTGAAAGAGACTCAGAACGAGATGAAGAAGAAAGAAAGACAGATGAAGAAAGAGATAGACGAATGGGAAAAGAAAGCTTCTGAATTAGAAATGGACCTGCAAGTAAGTTAATTATCCATAAATCCACTTTATAAAGATAAAAAAATAGACACTCTTGAATCTAGTAAAACTTAATGCTAATTTTTTGTTCAAAGGGAGCCAAAGGGGAATCAGCGGTAGGTCAAATTGTCTAGAACTTACAATATCATAAATCTTGTGTGCCAAAATCAAAGCTTTCAATGGCTAATTTGTAAATTAAAATAAGTCCACATTCATAATTATATCACAGAAAATGTAATTATTAACTAAAATAATTATTTAACAGAAAAATCAATTGCGCATAAAAATCAAATGTTCGTGTTGTGGACAATGCTTAACAAAATAATTCACATAAAGTCTTTAAACTAAAAACAAACTAAAAATATGGTAAATTGTAGCTTTTTATAATTTCCAAGTAAGCTTAAAATTTTTATTAATAATATTCAACAACATTTTAATTATCAGATTACAATGAACCTATAATAAAAATATTAAATCCTTCACTGTCATCCCTGGTCAGTTTTTTTATTAAAAAAACTTCCTGCTATTGATAAAATACATCGTCAAATAAAAACACATCTTTCTTGGCTATTGGCTAATGTGCTACAGTCATAAAAAATAATAATAATAAAAATATTTTTAAAAAATCATCCCAAACCAATTTCAGAACCATTTTAAGCATTTTTCTCATTTGACCATACAACCATTCTTGTCTTGGCATTATATATGTATTTCAATTTTTCAGACAGCGTTTGTTGTAAATAATAATTGTTGCTATAATATCTTTAATATGCATGATATTTCCATGCTGTTGTGAGCAAGTGTACAATTGTTTCTTGTGAGTAAAGAGAAAATTTTCCATCTAGGCTGACCGAAAGATGATGGAGAGGTTGAAATCCACACAGGAGAAAGAGATGAAGGCTAAGGACATCGAAATTGCACAGCTGAGGACTAACTCGCTTACCAGTGGTAACATCAAGGTTCAAGAACTGCAATCTGAAATCGACCGTAAGTTGGCTTTTTTAAAAAATTCATTCATTTAACATTTCACTATTCATTGTAAATTTTAGGACTTGAAATTGCTCTGGAGAGCGAGAAACACGAATATGAAGAGCTTACTAGCAAATATGAACAGTTGGAAGAAGAGCATGTTATAATGAAAGCAACCCTTGTAAAAGAAAAGGAAAAGGCGCAAAGGTAAAATTAAGATTATCTCTTAGACCATTATATTATCCTAACTTTGATTTTTTTTCAGTAAATTGGTTAAAACAGAAAATGAGCTTCTGGATATCGAGGCCGAGCTCAAAGACTTAAGAGAAACTTATACAGTTAAGCATGAAAACTGGTTGAAGGAAAAATCAAAAGCAGAAGTAATTAATTTTTTTTCATTTTTTGTAAATGATGGTTCTACACACAGATTTGTTGTTTACAACCATCCCTAAGTAATTAATTCTCAATATGATCGTTAACAGTTTTAATTTTCAATGCTTTTGTCTGTTTAGGAAAAGAATAGTGAGTGTGACAAGTTACTCCTTGAAAAAACAAAGCTTGAAGCTATCAGCAAGGAAAAACAGTCTGAAGTAGAACAACTGAAGAAAGAAACTTCATTGCTTTCCCAGCAAATTGAATGCATGAGAAAAGACGTAAAGATTTTATTTCAAAACATTTTCAAAGTTAAAAATTCTAATTTTTTAATGTTATTTTGAAGAATGAAGATCTTAGAAGTCAAATTGAGGATTATGACAAAGTATCCAAAGTGCAGAGGAACATGACAGCAGACATGGCGTCATTGGAAAAAGAGTTGAGAGAATGTAAAACCAGGTACAGTGAGACTTTACTATTCGTTTGATTTATGAAGCCATTGTAACTTTCTGATTGGATTTTTCATCAATGTTATTTCTCTCTCAAGACTGGTAATGGAAGAGAAAGCAAAGAAGACAGAACTCGCTAAACTCAAGCATCGCTATGACCGCCGTATCACAGTGATTTCTGATGAGCTGCTGAGTGTCCAAGGGCAGATGGCCAGGTTCAAAAGAGAAAGAGACTCATACAGGCATATGCTTGAGGCAGCTCAGAAGAACGGCACAAACAACATCAACAATTTAGAAGATGGCGACGATCCCAAAAACCACATTGCCAGCCTGGAACAACAAATAAGCTGCCTTGAGGATGAGCTGTCTGAATCTAGGGTCGAAGCATCCAGATTGAGGACAGAACTTGTTTCTGAGAGATCAGCCTGGGATGTTAAGATTTCTGAGCTCAATTCCAAACTGAATGAGGTAACTTTTTAAATTGTATTCAATTAATAAAATAAAAAATTCAATCAAATTTTGGGTTTTATTTTTTGCAGCTTGAGGAAGAGAAGATTCTCAGTAGTGGTCGTACTAAAATAACAGGTCTAAAAACAAAAATGGAATTGGCTTGGCATAAAGAACGTGAAGAACAACACAGGCTGCTTCAAGAGACTTCAACTCTTGCTCGTGACTTACGCCAAACACTGTTTGAAGTAATTTTTTGTGATATATTTTGTTGATGTACTTGAACCTGTAGTTTTGTCATCTCTGATTTGCCTTGCTGGTCTATAAAATACCACTTTAAATGGATCTGACTGACCAAACCAACAAGGTAGGACCAGGAGGATCAGAGAGACAGTCAAAAAAACTTTTTTGCCTATAACTTGTAATTAAATAAAAGAAAAAAGAAAAGCTGATATTGATTTTTTCAAACTTTCAGGTTGAAAGAGAACGAGACAGAGAAAGGCTTGAATCCAAGAGGAGAATAGACCAATTGAAGAAGTCCAATGAAGAAGAGCAAGAAGAAATCAGAAAGAAAGTCACAGAGGTGATAAACCAAAACCAATCAAAATTATTCAAATTTACATGTCAAAATTTCATTTTTAGATGCAATGCGACCTTCTTGAGTTAAGAGATGCCCATGCGAAACTGAGAACAACCAATGAAAAGCTCAGGAGAGAAAAAGATAAACTGGACAGAGAAAGAGACATTCTGAGACAATCGATTGCTATGAAGAAAAGGATGGATCAGGAAGAGGAGAGAAATATCATAAGTGTATTCCAGCTGGTAAAATATTAATCTTTTACTTAAGATTTTGTTCAAAAATTGAGAATTCTTAGGTAACATTTTTTTTAAGGTTGAAGAGCTGACTCATCTTGCTCCAGATTTGTTCCCTTCAAAACCAAGACCACCTGTTACAATGCCAACTCCTCCAGCAAGACGAAAGGTATTGACATTTTTAGGATTTGGATTTGGATGAATATAGGCTCAAATTCACACATGTAAATACATACATCCATGTGCTGAGTTGACCCTATTTGCTTCTCGTAGGCAATTCAGCTTTTGCAATTTATAGTAAATTGCCGGCAGTACTTGATATTCCTCAAATCACCCTTTACACATTTTATACAAATAATAATTGAGGGTTAATAGTACCCCATCGACACTCTCACATCACATATTCACACTAATAAGTACATTCAAGCTAATAAATATAAAATCTGCATGCTGGACACATACATGTGCTTTGGCTCAAAAGCAAGTGACCATGTGTCAACCTTGCTTGGCCAATTCTTAATCGGGTCTACGAGTCAGATTCTACAGTGCCCTTAATATGCAAGAGCTTCTCTGTCAATCCGGTCCATTGATGCTGCCACCTTCTTTTAATATTTTTTACTGCATTCTCAGAGGGCTGGATCGCAGTGGTTGTCTGAGTTGATTTTTTTAGTAGCTTTATGATTATTTTAGAAATAAATAAATATTGGTTTTTAAAATATTTATTCATTTATTGTTATTTATTTAACATCAATTTATTTAAAGGGACCAAAATCACGAGAAGCTTCTCCTCTCCTTGAAAGAAAAGATTACAGCCGAGGTAAAATAATTTTCGCACTTAAAACCATTGAATAAACTACTTTTTATTATCAATTTTAGAATCTTCTGTTGGAAGAGATGATGCAAAATCACACGAAGTTCAGGAAATTCTCAGAAGGCTAACCGAAGCGGCAAATGAGTTGAAGAAGTCCCAATTGGATGACAGGGATAGCAGGATGAGGAGATCGTTTAGTTCATTCAGGTTTTTATTTTTTTTATTGTTATTCATTTATGGATTCATTTTAAACAATGAATTTACAAAACGTCTAGGTCGTCATCAATAGAGTCAGATAGTGGCGCCGAACAGAAAGAAGTTAAGAAACGTGCAGTTTCAAAAAGGGGAAACAGTGGTCTCAGAAAAAGCATATCACTCGAACAGAGTTTAGCTCAAGAACAGGTACAATTTAAGTATATACAAAACACACAATAATTAAACTTAAAAATATATATTTTAGCTTTATGAAGAGACAGAAGGAAGCATGACAAGTGTCCAGTCTTTGGAGGAAATGGAGAAGTTTAGGCATAGTTTGCTCAGGCGAGACCAGAGCCTTGATAGGTAGTAAATAGCGTTAAGTTGGACAGTTCAGGAGTAAATTGTTTTTTCTTTTTCAGCCGGCTTTCAGGAGGTTCAACTCAGAGTGAAGTCCTGCCAAGTCTGGAAAAGAAAAAGAAACTGGGCATCTTTGGAAAGCTGAAAAAACTGACCAAGTCTAAAAGCATAGACCAAGATGGAAGTGAATTGGGATCCAGCAGCCAGGCAAGTCAAAATAAAATATGATCCATATATGTTTAGCGGTCATAATTGACCCTATTAATTATTTAAATTAATTATTCATTTTATGTAAGGTCTTGGTTGGGATGAAAAAGTTAATGTCATGTCAAACCCACCATTTGAAAATGAATAATTAATTGAAATAATAATATGGTAAATTATGACCACTAAACATATATGGATTAATATAATAATTAAAGAAGTAATCTCTTCACTAACAGCTCCCCATGGCTGAGAACCAAATCCTGATTTCACATTTGGAATTATGGCAAAAAGAGGGAAAATCCGAAAGGTTGTAGGTTGAGACGAGGAGTTGGTTGTCCGAGTGATCAAAGTAACAATAGCTGAAGTGGTTAGAGCAGCAGCGTATTTTGCATGTAGTCGTGGGTTCGAATCCTGCTCGTGACACTAACTTTTTCATCTCAACCAAGACCTTAGATAAAATGAATAATTAATTGAAATAAAATATGATTTTCAATTTTCCCTAGTAAGCCATATGGCAAAATTTATCAATTCATGTATTTTCCTATTTTAACACTTAAGATTTTTTCTTTTCAAGAGAGACAAAACTTCACCTAATTCACTCTTTCTTCCAGCTCGATCCTGGCTCAGACATCAGTTTATCAGAAGATAAGGGGACCATGAAAGACAAATTTGCTGGGATGTTTAAAAAATCAGGCTCATCATCGAGAGGAAACAGGTTCGTCTTTTTAAAAACGCCTCGACATAAATTTACATACAATAGTATAAAATAAGATAAGCATGTCTGAAAAAGTTTGTGTTTTCAATGCTGCATGAGACGGTATACGAGAGTAAGTAGAAACCGAAGCTGACTCGGTAATCTATTGAATTTTTAAAAAATCATAGTAGTCCAGTAATTTTTTAAAGTTAGTTCTTTTTTTTAAAAGAAAAGTTACATTAGCAATATAGTTACTCTAATTTTCAGCGTGGAGCGTAGTGTGAAGCAAAAAAGTTCAGCAGAAAGGCCGCTCACAAGCGCTACTTTAAGTGGGGTAAGATTTTATTCAAATTTTTATTTAACTTAAGAAACTTTTGATCGAACTGTTTAGTGGGCTAAAATAATATAACCAGTGTCTAATTGGTTATTTAATTAAAGTAATTTTAATGTCATTAAGTTCAACAATAATCAGAACTTTTTCTTTCCTCAGGGAGATCTAAGTTCTTCAAGACCACTTACGAGGAAGCCACCAAGTTCAGCCCCGATGCAACGAAAAGCAAAGAAATAGAACAGGATCAAATATTAGGATATTAACCAACCATTTTGTACTGAAATTTTTGTAAAAAATAAAATAAAATGTTATTATAAAAAATGAGACTGTGCAATCTTATGACTGACTTTTAAAGCAGGTTCTCTTAGGGAAAATGATAAACACATTGCATTGTTATCAAGTACAATTATCCTTTATTTATAATTTATACCAATATAAGAGAATTATGTGTAGGTCAATATAAATTGTTGAAATATAATTTTAAATGTTATCTTAATTTTAACACCAGGCAAACCCGTTTTAATACATTTCATAAATATTTTGTCAGTCAAAATATTCAATTTTAATCAATCACTTTTCTTTTACAATGATTTATTACTTTTGTTGTATATAGAATTTCAGGTGCGCAAACTGACAAGTTTTGACAATGCCTCCTCCAGCACCGGCAGGTATTGCTCCCCCCAAATAATGTTCCAGCGAGCTTTCTCCACAGCCCTTTTTCTTCCAGCAGCCCCCGCTCCAGCTTCAGGGTGGAGCGCAATAAACTGATTCAACTGAAACACAAATGATAAAATTAATCCAGCGGTTTTAACATCATTGTTTAAAAGACTTACCTCATCAAGAGAGTTCTGATCGTGAAACTGTGTTGCAATTTCAGGCAGGAGTCGCCCCAATGACCGGTCATTGAGGGTGAAGCGTTTAACAAGGTAGTCCCAGTTATTTCTAAAATTATAATACATAGATAATTTAATTTTATTTAAATCATAAAAAGGATGAGATTTATACAACTAGACCATTTTTAAAATTAAAATTATATGAATTTTATAATTTTTAGTACCATTGTACCAGATGGTCAATTACCAACTAGAAGTTTGATCGATTCCTTGGCAGTAAGATTTTTTACAAACAGCTTTCTACTCCAGCTTTTACATCATGTACAAAATTTCCTTTAAGGCAGGTTATTATGTTCAACACACTGGGTCCATTTCACTTGTGGGTTTGCATGTTCTAGCTTTGTGTTGTCTTCAGTAGTAAATAGACAGACCCAGTAAGTAGAGTCAGTGCAGGTTTTACAAATGTTTACCGACTTGCATACTTTAGTTCAGTTAAACAGAGATGATCAATGATTTTGTTGATTGACTAACGTTTGATAAAGACAAACTTTTTCATGAAAGTTCAGACTTTCGTTCAAGTCACAAGCCATTCCTGACAAGTTAAAACTGTGAACATCTCAATTGTCTGTTTCCTATTCAACTGTTCATGTTACATTGTTTCATTTATAAAATATTTTTTAAAAATGAATTTCAAGGGAAATTAATTGATTTATTATGCAAAATTAAGATTTTTGCCTTTTGCCTCGGATTACAAGTGGCGGCATCTCTGATACAAAGTTATAACCCCGTGGCTTAATGATGATGTGGTTTGATGAGTAAAAAAATGAAAATAAAATAAAGAAAAAAGCGAGTTTCTGAAGGAAAGAAAATGCATCAAAGGAAGCCGGAAAAAACTTCGACAGGACACTGCAGACTGAATGCATTTTAGGATGGTGGGTATACTCCAACCCAGTAGGCGCAGATTGTGCAAGAAAGCAGACACCAATGCACCTAACATACTACGGCACTATACTTGCCCTAGGAGAGTGCTTTGGGACTGTAGAAAAATTCAACCATTGAAACTGGGCCTAATATTCAAATTTCTTGGCTCATCGGTGCTACAGAATGGAACAAAACTAAAGTACAGTAAAACCTCCATTATCTGGGGTAATGTCTGGGAGAGTGATCTACTGAAAATCGAAAACTCTAAAATAGAATTTATTTGTTTAATACTGCAATTAAAAGGTGAATTAAGAAGCCATGTGTACAAATAATATTTTTAATATGTATTGTACGGAAAAAAATTATAAATTTTTTCAAAAAAAATTTGGAAAACGACAAATCAAAAAATGGTCTTCATAGAATTGTTGAATAAGTGATATTAAAAGCCTGTGACCCGATTCAATACAAAAAATACAGAAGAATTAGTGCAAAACGAAATGACGGCCGTTACCAATATGTTCAATATAAACTGACCGCTGGGAGTTTCATAGGAACAAGACAAAATTTGGTGTTCTTCGAATCTGAAGTGACTTGTTGCAACACAAAAAACATACCTGTATACATAGTGTAAGTATACAGAGACCCGGAGCCCGAATAACTTGATTTTCGGATAATAGAATTTTTACTGTACAATGTACAGAATCATACCAAAGTGGGTAAGGAATTCAATAAACAGATAAAAATTGTCAAAACTTTGTTTTTAAACAGTTTTTTCAAAAACTCACTTGACATAATCCCAAACAGCGGTGTTCCCTTGAGGAGTGCTGAGCATAACGAACATAAATGAAAAATAGTCTTGACTCCTGACCAAACTTTCATTTTTCATGTTTTCTAGTAGTCTGAAAAATCGAAAAATCAGCAATGACTGATATTTACGAAAATATCATCGAATAGTTTTACCGTGTCAATAGTTTCGGCTCAGTGACTTTAGCCAAGGCCACGATCATCATGTTCTTTTCCAGTGGGTCTTGCTCTACGAGATAAAGATCCCACAGTTCCTCCCAGTTTGAAAGAAGCTTATCTCCATACATTCCTACAGAAGTTTAAATGATGTATCAAATTAAAATCATTCATTTAAATATACTATAAATAATGTACCAAATGTGTAAATAGTCTTCCTAACATCTATCGGCGGCTTTGACCCGCCTGTGATCCAATCGCTGAAAAGTTCATTTACCTTCTTCAAAGCTGCTGGCAGCTCTATGTGACATACAAGACTTGCCACAGAAGATTTGAACAACCTATTTTTTTCCCAATAGTTAATAACTTTTTAATAAAAATAAAAACCATTAATACTCACTTTTCAGTTATAGGGGAGTTCCCAGATAAATTCCAAATATCATTACTATACACTGAACCAATGAGATTGCCTATGTAAGTCTGGAAACATCAAATTCCAAAAATAGGAACATAAACGGAATCGATTTAAACTAAATTAGTAATTTGAGACAAAGTAGTGCATTTGGTAAGATACCTGGAAAACTTTACCTTCAGATTAGTACTAGTGCCTCCCGAGTGCCTGAGTGGCAGGAGTAAGTTGAGAGTGTGGCGGTATACGACATACCAAGGCAGCCAATGGTTCTCCTTCCCTGACTTAAGATATGAAATGAACTGAAATGGTATACCGTAACATAAATAGCCCGATTTTGCTAGGCTGAAGGCATCATCTATCAGGTTAGCTCTGTCTTCCGGTGACATGATCTAAACAAAATATTATTAGAAATACATATAAACTGAAATATTGTATTATCACCTTATAAATTTTTAAAAGGAAAACATACATTCGGATTGTCATAGAGATGGTTCTTAAGGTTCATCCATTCTGTTTCTGTATACATCACTCGGTAAAAACCAACTTGCTTTGCATTTATTTTAAACCACTCAACACCTTCTTTTAGTGGTAGTTTTACTGTAAAATAAATTTATAAGTAGAATAAAAAAATATGAATATAGATCAGTCGATTTTCAAAAATATACTTACAATGCTTTTGATCTAATTTTAAAATAGTGGACTGTGGTGTTGAAGCGTTTCTCGAAGTGATATATTTTATTGGGATGTCCCATTTGTACCTAAAAATACAAAATAATTTTCAAAAAAGAGCCTCAAATATATAATTACAGTGTAATTCTATATTAATGATGCTAGATACAATGATATTCTGGGTATAATGACTTTGAGCAATGTTATTGGTTATATCATGTGCAGTACTTTATTTTTTTAAATATGTAACAATGCCGTTACTACAATAATCTGGAAATAGCCAGGCATTTTGAAATGCAATCAGGTCTTTTGATTCAAAATTATTAATAATTGAATAATGATCTCGCGTGTTTACTCAGTTGAATCTTGAATTTAAGGAATCCACTGCACAAATTTTAATTTTCTTTTTAACACAGTCACCATTTTGGTTTCTTTCCAAATGTTTGTGTTTAAAATGATGTCCTATAAAAATGTAGTTGTTTTTCTATCGCTAAGTACCATCAATTTTAGAAGTGTTTTTTAATAGATCAAGTGCAAAATTTTGTTTGGTAAAAAGTGATAATACTAGACATATTAATAGCATTAAAAAGTATTGAGAATTTTGTGGAAAAAAATCTTATTGCTCCAAAAGCATACAAACCACTATAAGTGATTTTTTTATGCCAAAATCAATTAATTAATGATAATTAATAAGATAATATTTCTATAAGTTATTGTTTATATAATAATGCATATGTTAATACATATGTATGCATCTAAATTAGTTTTGAATATATGTAACAGCCAACATTTTTCTTTTATCCTAATCACTTTTCTCAAATATATACATATTTTTGTTTATATATATAAATCTGGTTATAATAAAGTTCAGTTGTAACGATATGATTCCCTAGATCCCTTGAAGATGGTTATAAGCTAATACCACTGTAAATATTTTGATTTATTAACTTAATAATGAAATATAGTATTACTTGAAAAAAGAGCTGTCTTTTTGGAATTCAGCTTTTGCATTTGTTAAGCATCGTGTCTGCTCGAAGACAAGATTTCCTTTGATACTTTCGACAAACACGAGTGGGTAGCCCATCTGCTTCGTCCAGGTGTCGAGCATCCGTGGGAGGTCTTCTACCTCCCTCATCTCAACGGCGAGATGAGCCCAAAGGTCTGAAGTGTGAGCATTCTTGTACTGGAATTCCTCCAAATAATGGCAGACGGCATTTTGGAAACCTTTTGGGTCAAAGTCCTCCATCATTCGCAGCACTGCAGAACCCTGGAGAGGTCAAAACTGTTATTATTCATTTACCAGGGCACATTTTAAGTAGCACACCTTAGCGTAAGATATGACGTCGAATATCTCTGTGATTTGGTCAGGGTGCCTGACTTGCTGGATAATGGGATGTGAGCTCACTGCAGCATCATCAACCAAGACATTATATACAGCTGCCATGCCACTTGATTCCTGTTAAAATCACTATTATAACTAAACAACTATTACGTATTTTTAAAATTAATTCATTAAACAATGAAATGAACAGCATTAAAATATATTACTACTTAACTCACAGCTTGATACTGCGGGTAGAGCTTTGTAAGAACTCTGGTCGCGAGGAAAGTTGCAAAGCCTTCATTCAACCAAAGATCATCCCACCAGCTCATAGTTACTAGATTGTTTATAAAAGAGTAAATAGTTTAATTATGCGACAGTTACATAATGCCAAATTACCTAAGTCTCCAAACCACATGTGAGCAAGTTCATGAGCAACTGTAGTCATTACAGAAATCATATCGAAAGCACTTTTGTCATTGTTGGCCAGAAGTTGAGTTTCCCTGAAAGTGATAAGGCCCCAATTTTCCATTGCTCCAGACACAAAATCAGGGATGGCTATTAAATCTATTAAAAAAATAATAAACAACATTAAAAAAATATATTTTACATAGATACTGAACCACCATAAAAAAATTTATAGAGATCTACCAATTTGTTTACAATAAATAAAATAAAATGGAAAAAAGGACAAAAATCAACACCCTGTCAACTCAGCAAACCCTTACCCAATACATTAAATTATAATATAATTGTGAAATGTCCTCTTGGGGTTTGAACAGTGATGAAGCAAAATTTTGGTTATCATCATTTTGGTCTTTTTAGTCTTGCTATTTTTATCACAGACCCAGCACTAAAGACAGCAAGAAGCTGAAACATGTCTGACAGATCAAAACAGCAAACAGATCATAAACAGCCCTTTCTCAATCAGACCTCAAACAGCCCAATTTAATCAAAACCATAGTTATTTCAAGACAAAAATTGATATATTATAGACATACCTAGTTTGCTGAGTGGAAATTTAATTTTGAAGTAATCTGTGAAATGCTCCAAAACTGCAACTGTAACGTCTCGGGCTAGAACTGTGTTATTGGCCTGTCCTTGGCGGGCGTAGAGTGTAACAACAGTTCCAGATTCGGTTTTCACCGAAGGGAGCTTTTCAAAATCACAGACAATGAAACAGGCTAGGTAAGTTGCCATAGGTGGTGTTGTGGCAAATTTGGCCGTCACTTTCCCCTTTTTGGGATAATCTGCTTCTTCTGACTGAAATTTTAATATTAACTTTCTTAACTTGTTCTCAAATGGTCTGATTATTAGTGTACACTCAATAGAGTAGTACTGTGAGTATACTTGAGTTTGTAACATAGTATTTAGTGTGTGAGTTTGTTTGTTTATTTCATTTTGTTAACATCTCTTACAATTTGGTGCATATTTGAGAGAGCGAAGTAATCATCTTTAGCAGGACGAACAAGTTTGATGTCAAAAGTTGCTTTAAATGAGGGTTCATCAAAGCAAGGAAATGCCCTCCTTGCGTAAGTTGGCTCGAATTTGGTCGAAGCAAGGTATCTGAAATAAAGCTTGTCCAAATATAAATTTTACATTCCAATATTAAGAATAATTCTCTAAAAGAAGTGACAGGATTACCTGGTAGTTCCGTCAGTCTTTGAGTAAGAGCTTCTATAGAATCCGACGATGCTCTTGGTGAGAGATCCATTGAAATCCAGTTTGAGGAGGTATTTGCCTGCAGGAAGGGTATACTCGACCTGGATGACCCAAAACTCATTTGGCTCATACTCAAAAGCCTTTTTCACTGATATGGCTGACTGGTCGGGCAAGAAGAGTTGCGTGCTGGTTACGTTGAGATATTTGACATGTACGATCAGGTGGTCCCGTGGTGCCTTCGTTTCAATTGTGATGGCCACTCTTCCATAAAAGACACCTTCTTCGATGCAGGGGTCAAGGAATAGGTCGTAGTGAATAGGTTTTGTATCATTTGGTAACAAAACTTCTGTTGCCCAAGGTGCATCCTAAAAAGACATCACAAATATAAAACTGTACTGTTTTGGAATCGGTATTAAAAAGGCATATCATCCATACAAAAACTTATTATCCACACACAACTGAATACCTTTTAATAAATACCGAATAACTACTGCTATAAATGTTCATTTCAAACAGACAAATGGCACATAGAAAAATAACCACATGTGTTCATCCCAATTTTATTTTTTAAAAAGATGCTTTTTTTAATCAAGTTCAGAATTCACCTAGTTATTTTACCAATTATATCAATAGTAAAAATTTAACCTTATATCATATTCCTTAAAAGGCAGAACCTACGGTCAAGATTGCAACAATGAAGAGTGAAAAAATATGGCAGTTTTAAAAAAATCAAAATACATGCCAGGAGATTGTTTCTTTTTACAACTACTAAACAAGTAAAAAAGATTTATTGCTGTTGAATAAATTACGATGTTATCACTTATTTGCTCTGATCTAAAAATGTTTCATACAGAAAGACAGGAAGAAAAATTAAATTTTTATGTGAAATGAAATTTTACAACTGTGGAACCACATTTACAGGCCAAGGTGTTGAGAAAATTTGGTCGGGAAATTTTTGAAAGATTTCCACTCCACCTGGCCAACTTACGCTGTTCTGCTTCTCCATGTAGATCAAGATACGCTCAGCATACTCCTCGAGGATCTCTTTCGAGAGGCTACTTAACCCGGAGAGATGTTCGAGGCCGGGCGGGAGTGAGTTAGAAGCCAGCAGTATGGGAAGCACCTTCCTGATCTTCTCAAGTGGGATGTGCACCGGCCCATTATTCATTTTTGAGGGCGGGAGGAAACATGAGTTCGTCAAATGTACAGGGTTTGTGCGCGCAAGCTTGTATCTGTGCTTGGATTCTTAAAATGGAGGGATGGATCATATTGGAAACATGTGTAAACAAACATATATATATTTTTTAAGTTTTGTTTCAACTAAAAAATATTCCTTTCTTCCTAAAAAGAAACTTGTTTTGGCATAAGCTTTTTGTTTTACTCTGATTTTTATTTTTATTTATTTTTTAATTTTCCTATTATTTCAATGTCAATTGTTCTTAAACTTTCCTATTTTCCACAACTGAAAAAACATTAGATGAAGAAAAGTGAAAACTGTTAATATTTCAAAATGTTACATTCTGGCAGGAAATCTCAAACTTAATAACACATTTGTCAAATTTTCAAATAAAACCCCAAGGACAATTATGAGATCAAACCCATAAGATCGAGCATGGCTATATGATCAGCTTCTGCTTCAGAACAACTAGGCCACCGAAGCTACAAATTTTGAAATATACGACAAAGGAAAAGTGAAATAAAAAACAATTTCTGACAGCATATAGTCAGAAGATGAAATCATCTTTCATGATAAGCAAGAACAAAGCATCAAGTAATATTTTAGTACACTATCTTCAAGCATTTTATTAGCCTTGATAGTGTGAGTAGAAACCTCGTTAGGCCACAATATGCTTGCTTGTTCAACTTGATTGATGTACTCCTTTTTTTAATGGCACTTTGAAATTTTACAGAAAGATTTGCTTTATGATGCTGACGAACCTCCGTGGCTTGTTTATTAGTTTTTTCATTACACTTCAGTACACTGTGTTCTGTGGCCCAGGCAAGAGTTTTCCCTCAATAGTTGAAAAGGATGGACTCCTGGTTTTGCAGTTATCCGGATTTTTTAACGTTAAATCATCATCGTCTATGCAAATAATCTAAAAGTACTTTTTCATGCAAATTATAGATTACCGTATTATGTCTGCAATCTGTGTGAAAAAACATATTTGTAGATTACTTGAATAGTCTGTTAATTTGAGATCATATAAGTGAAGTGGTAGAATCACCGGGGTATGGATCCGGAGTTTGTGGTGTTCTAGTGTTATCTCACATCAAAGGAAATCCACAAAGGTGCAACGAGGAAAGTGCCCAATTTAATAACGAATAGTGCACTTTCCAAGGTACCATGTCAGGGTTCCACAATAGAACTGTTGGGGCGTCGGTGGCCGCAAGGTTTAGTCTTTGACACGGCGATGATCACTGTAAGGTAAAGGTCCCGGGTTTGAATCCAGCGGCCCTGCATTCGAACCCGACATACTTACAAATGGGCTTTTTTTCAAAAACACTGGCACCCTGAGGGTTGATATGACCTCTGCTGTTTAGGTCATAGTGGAAGAAAGAACTGTTTTTGTTTTTAATTGAAATGCTCTTTAATATAACCACTGTAAAATACATTATGGTATAGACCAAGGAAATCCAAACTTCAACAGATGACTTTTTGCTATATTTGAAATTTATTGTATTACTTTTGTTAATAAAACAATGTATTTTTTTCTCCTTCTTCTATAGAAAAAAAAATAAAAAGCCAACCAACTCAATATTTGATTGTATGATATGTGAGATGAACTACACTTATTGAATTCGCTTTTTAAAACTGACAACTCAGTTGTCATTGTCAAAAGGTAAGCAAAGAGCTTGGAAGATTGCAAGGGAAATTTCTGATTTAAACAGAACTTATAAGAACAATTTTCATTTCTAAAAATTAATTTTCTTGAGTATTAAGTAAGTAGGTAGTAAATAAGTAAGTTAGCCACACTAAAAGTGGTAAGTACTATCGGGTTGTCCGGAAAATAATGCAGGATTTTAAGTTTTCATTAAAAAAAATCTATATAAAATATTCTGTTTACGTTTACAGGATTACTCATTTGTATGAATGTNAACGAAATTAATAAGTTACCAACACGTTGGGAGAAATGTATTGAGAGTATGGGAAATTATTTTGATTAAAGAACATTGCTTTAAAGTAACTAGTTTCTTTTTTTTGTTTAATACCAAAATCCTGCATTATTTTCCGGACAACCCAATAGAACGACTGTGGTTATAAATAATGCAACATGAATTACAAGTAATTTTTTTTAAAATTATGAATTCATATGATCAAATTCAAAAATGAGAATTGGTGATTAATTCCTGAGATTGCTCAGAGATCTCTCAGGTGATGAACGTGCACTTTAGCCGTTAGCGCAGAACAAACACCAAATGCCTAAACTTGTCCGAACGAGCCAAATCAGCACACATCGGAGGACCAAAATGTTAACAACTGAACTTGATGAGCAATGATAATTATTCGATTAAAAAAATGTAATGACATTTGGTTGAAATGAATATTTACAAAATAATATAAAAACCAATCAAATCAACGTATTTCAAGGCAAAATGGTTGTATGATGTTAGAGCTTGGAAGATTGCAGGGAAAATTTCCGATTAAAACAGAATTTATAAAAACAATTTTAACTTAATTTTCTTAAGCATTAAGTACACAGTATCTGCAAAGTGATAAACCAGCACTTTGGTCGTTAGCGCAGAACCAACCCTGAACAAGCTGAACCAGCATGCATCAGCAGACTAAAATGTTAACTGAACTTGATGAGTAATGATTTGGTTGAAATTAATATTTATAAAATAATATAAAAACCAATCAAATCAACATATTTCAAGGCAAAATGGTTGTATGATAATGAGTGAGATGTATAAAAATAAATTACTCTTTGTTCAACTGCTTTTTAAAACTGCGAACTCAGTGGCCATTGTCAGCCTTTGAGCTTAGAGCTTGGAAGATTGCAAGGAAAATTTCAGATTTACACAGAATTTATAAAAACAATTTTCACTTAATTTTTAAAAATGTATTTTCTTAAGCATTAAGTACGTAGTAAAGTAGGTCAGCCGCACTTAACATCTTAAACACTAAAACAATTGTGGTCATAAATAATCCAACATGAATTAGAGGATATGAGAAAATTGTTTTTTAGTATCGGTTGATATGATAAAATTCCAAAATGAGCAATGACAATTAATTTCTGAGATTTATCCACCGTATCTGCGAAGTGATGAACCTGCACTTTGGTTGTTAATGCAGAACCAACACTGAATGCCTAAACCTGTTTGAATGAGCCGAACCAGCACCATCACCAGACTAAAATGTTAACAACTGAACTTGATGAGTAATGATAATTATTCGATGAAAATAAAATACAATGAAATTTGGTTGAAATGAATATGTAAAAACCAACCAAACCACCGTATTTCAAGGCAAAATGATTGTATGATGATAAGTGAGATGTATAAAAATTAGCAATTACAATGACTCCGATGTTCAATAAGTGTCCCAGCTCTTTAAACCTGACAACTCAGTTGTCATTATCAGCAGGTGAGATAAGGGCTTGGAAGATTGCAAGGAAAATTTTCGATTTAAACCTAATTTATAATATCAACATGCCCATTGTTTGAAAATTAAAAAAGAAAAAAAGGGAAGTTATAAAATAAATTTTCTTGTAATACCTGTGAAGTATTCGGTTTCTGGGGCATCTTATTCTTTCGTCGGGCGTATTGACTGCTGGATAATTGCTTTCAGGCCGGTATCGCAAGGATTTCCTTTTTATTAATTTTTGGGTCTACGGCTATATTTCCGACTCGACGTGGGAACGAAATTGGGGAAAAGGAAGAGATCGGGTTTCGGTCTGGTCAAATCTCAAATCTTTTACCTTTCCAGCGGTTAAATCAGCAGCTGGAGGTTTCACGTCGACATTTGCTTCCGAGCAGGCGGCCAACACAACGGACGAGAAGAGGACAACCGTCCCAATTCGAAACTTGGGCATTCGTCTCATCTGAAAAAATATAATAAAATCGAATTAAAAAAAATATTTATTAAAAAAAAGCGAACTAAAAAAAAAGATATTTTTTAAAAATCTATATACAGGGTGAATTGCTACTCGTGCTACAAACTTCTCCAGTAGATTCTTCACCCTAAAATGAACAAAAAAGTTCATATTGTCCATGGTCCGATTNAGAATCGGACCATGGACAATATGAACTTTTTTGTTCATTTTAGGGTGAAGAATCTACTGGAGAAGTTTGTAGCACGAGTAGCAATTCACCCTGTATATCTATATACATATACATATACATATATCTATATCTATGATATATGTAATTTAGTTGAACGAATGTATTAATTTGCGTGAATGGAGGGGTTTATCCCCCCAATACGCCGATGAATATCGAGTACTCTGAGATAGTGTGAAAGATATGTACTGTGTATACGTGATTTATTAACGTGAATGTAAGTCCCAATTACCCCGAAGAATGTGGAGTGCTTTGAGGTAGTGTGAATGAATGTGCAAATGTAATTTATTAGCGTGAATAGTAGTTTATCCCCAATTACCTCGAGGAGTATCGAGTACTCTGGAGTAGAATGAATGAATGTGCGAATGTAATTTATTTGTGTGAGTGAAGGGTCTTATCACCAATTACCCATAGGAATATCGAGTGCTCTGGGATGGTGAAAATTCTAACCAGATATCATATAGGAAGAGAGGAGGAGGAGGAGGAGGAGAGAGAGAGAGAGAGAGAGAGAGAGAGAGAGAGAGAGAGAGAGAGAGAGAGTTCAATTGATTGGAACAATAAAATAATTAAGTAATTTGAGCGACAGAAGTAGTTATTACTGATTTCGGATTTATATAATCTCAAACTTGATTAATTATAATGAAAAACGTTGATGCCGTCTGCAAATATATGATAGGTTTGATTTGAGGGATGGGTAATGTTGTTTATGAAAATCAAGAAAAGTAGGGGGCCGAAGATAGAACCTTGAAGTACGCCTGTTGAATCTAAGAAAGGGTCAGAAAACACAATACCTACATCTGCAACGTTCTGTCAAATAGCCTCTCAGTCGATTAAGTAGAGAGCCAAGGAAATCATAACTAAGCTTAAAAATTAATAAGTTTACCATATCAAAAGCCCTCTGAAACTATAATATATAGAATCAATCTGTTCTTCCAAGTCAAAGGAACGAAAATATATTACGAACATATTTGTAGTACTTACGTTCGACGAAACTGTTCGGGTATTCTGCCCATGGAAATTAAAACAAGAAAGTTTATCAATTAATTGACCCGCGATAACCTTTCAAAAGCTAGAAAATACGATTAATGTCCTATAATTTATTGTAGAAGAGGGATCGCCGGTTTTGAAAACTGGTACTGCGTAACCGGTTTTCTGTATACTAAGGAAAATGCGAGAAGAAAATACATGATTTATTGATCATAATGAATAAAGAAAGAATGAGAGCGGACTGTCAAACCATTGGAAAAAGTTTTTAGGAATACCATCTGGGCCTTTTCACGTATAAAGAAAATTGCGTTTCTTTTCTATTTCTTCAACTGAGGCGGAGAATTTTGATATTTTGAACGTCTAGTATCTGTTGAGGGAACCTACTATAGATGGGTGTAGACAGTTGAAAAATTAGGTGCAAAATACGTTGACTATGTTTCCTGGAGGTTGACGTATTAACGAATTTTGTGTTAAATATGAAAACATTAAAAAACCAAATAACGAATGAAAATATACAGAACAAACATCACTATGTACGACCCATTGGCTAGCTGTCTTACTGACTTAGATTAACATTGTACAATAAGTACAATATACAATAGATTGTGTAAAACTTAATAACACGAATAAATTCTATAATGATACATATAAGTATAAAAAATTAAGTTAACAACAATGGAACTGCTGTTCTTGCTGTTGAGTTTACATGGTGGTCATCGTCTTTTGTAGGAATGTTTGACGATTTTCTCGACGTTGGTACGTCCAGATAACTGTTTAGCATAGTATTTCGTACCATAATTACTGTTATAATCCACAGTACTCAATTTTGAATGGAATCCTGGGAGAGGAAAAGAGAAAGCCTGAAGGATACACACGGAGGCCCTTAAGCCTAATCCACATGTGGAAAGTGGAAAAATTGCGCGTCATTGTTGCGGAGCTGAATTTCCTTTGGATCAGGAGTGTTGAGATTCAGCCCCGCAAGTGACCTTTCTGTCCGGAGTGTATTGCGGGTTTACGTGATACAAGATTTTGGTTCCCACCGAAACGAGACTCAGGTGCGCAACATAGCAAGTGTAAACGCATGTTCCGGGGCAGGCGGAGTGTGATTGCGACTCCGCAAGTTTCATGGTTGGGAAAATTGAATTTCTAAATTGTGTGTTTTTTTAAACACCTTCGGTGCAACCATTTGCGAAAGATTTTCAAAATCCTAAGGTGTCATCCTTAAAAAGTTGACAAATCCCATTCCATCTTTTAGCCTCAAAAGATCGCAGCATGTATCATTGTTGTTACTAAACAATTTTCGGACCCACCATCTTCTTTGATTTCTTTTATTTCTAGTTTTAATTAATAATAACAATGACGGAGCAACACCCTCGGGGCCTAACTGCTGAGACATTTTCTAGGGAACTGCCTCTGTAGTGTAGACATGTTATTGCCCTTCCTCTTTCAGTCGAGGCTGTTTGAGATTCAACGAACTTGCCCGGTTGACTCTCAACTAGTTTATTTCTGTGTGAAGACACTTCTTTGCTGGTTTCTCATCAGGCTTGTTGAATCAACCTCTCTTCATAATGGGAGGTCAGTACGATGTTGGAACCCGAGGAGAGGAAGCAGGAGCGCTTCTTGGGCTTGCTCTTCTGCATAACGAGAAGCAAAAAAGGAAGAAGCCCAGTAAAGAAAAGTATGGGCTTAGCCGTTGTTAAAAAATTGGGAAACGGGCACTTTCTCACAAATACTGTTATGCTACTTTCCTCCAAGCTTCGCTTCTTTTAATTTTGTGTGGCAGCCCCCAAACAGACGCGCAACATTGAATCGTAGCTGTTCCCAACAAAGTCGCGCAACTTTCACCCTAGTGTGGACTAAGCTTTAACAAAATTTTAATATCTGATAAAAAGACTTAAGCTACAGAAATAATAAATAAATCAAAATATCGACGAGTATGATTATTTAGGGATCTTGAGATGCGGTCTCGTGCGATATGGCTTTAGAAAAACATTTTCTTTATCGTACCGACGTTTCGATCTTTATTCAGATTATCTTCAGGTCTGGGATTTATAAATATTGTTTAAATTATGATGATGGTTTAATCAAAGTATTTATATAAGCCGCTCTGAGGAATTATAAGGACGAAACTTACAAACAGTGCATATCCATACATACACAACTTGGCACAATCAATAACATAAATACTCACATCCCCTCAGACGGGACTACGGATCATGGACAAAAACAGACAAAGAGAAAGCATCGCTATACTCAAATTACTTTACAACACGTTCCCAACATACTTGATGCACAACATATCACTGAAGTCGAAGCTGAACAGACCTCTACCACTTGAACAACCCCCAAAGCTTTCTATCCATTTGTTGTCAAAAAACATTATTACCAAACTCACTTGTAAAAAATCTTCCGGTTATGAATTAATCAAAGCAAATATCATCTGCCAAATTCTTAAGCGTAATTGTGGCTTAATCTTCCTTACCCGCCTGTATGGGTACCACGTAGTTTCCAACCCTTCGGAAATTTGCATCAATTATCATGATCCCGAAATCCAACAAAACATTGCACAATGTCTCGTCGTATCATTCTATAAGGATCTTCCCTTGATGAGAAAGATAGTTGAAAAACTCCTCTTACGTCTTTATCCAATACTTTATTCTCTTCATTTAAGATGATCATCAGTTTGGTTTCCGGCATCAGCACTCAGCAGTTCAACAATACCGCCGCGTTATCACCTCCTTCTTTAGGAAGAAACAGTATTGCCCGGCTGTCTTTCTTAACGTTAAGCAAGCATTCTGGGCCTGGCATGCTGAAATGCTGTGTAAACTCTAAGGCATCCTTACTACTTCATCCTAAAGTTCTATCTTGCCGACCGTTACTTCTGGGTAACATACGGTTTCTTCCCATTCACCCATATGAGACACCAAAGGTAGTGTTCTTGGTTTAATAATTTATACTGCTAACAACCCTAAATCACCCCCGTTCACATTTACATATGGCACTGCAATCCTGTCCACTCACGATGATCCTGCCCTTGCCGTTCGTTCCCTACAGTCTCACCTTACCGTCTTTCAGCCTTGGCTAAAGAAGTGGATGATAAAAATAAACACAAATAGATGCCAAAACATTAATTTCACAATAAGGTGAGCAATCCTTGGTACTGTATACCTCAACCGCACTTATGACTACACATCGACAAACGCCTCACGTGGAATCCCAAATTTTGGAAAACTTGTTTTGTTTCCTGTTTTTACCCCGTTTAATAATTATTAAACTGGAGTGATTAATTAATCTTCTATTTTTCATTTTGCTCACAAAATATTATTAATGATAATAGCAGCCTTCGATTTTTAACAATTATACGATAAGTGAAATATTGTTTCGTCTCGGAAAGTTTGGTTAAAATCGTCTCACCTTTTAGCTGGAATCTTGCGAAGTCCTGTAAACCCTACTGACCAGCAACTGACTGGTCGTTTTCAACAGCTTTGGGGGTCAACCCATTCCTATTTCTACCCCACTATCGTTCGCCTTCATGCCCAACAGAAAAAGCCATTACAACATTTTTGCCAAACCCAAACAAATGGGAGTTGGAATTAAAATATGGCTTAATTTAACGCGTGTAAGGAAACCGATCGACGATGAAAAAATTGGCCCGCACACTCTTTTTGAAAATAAAATACATACACATGCATGATCATATAGTTCAATTAAATTGGTGTTGTAAATAATAAATTTAACTACAATTAAATTATTTTAAAAAAGTAGTTTGTTATTA